CTTAACTAGCAAGATGGAAAAATAGGAACCCATACCACTACTCATGGCATGGATCTTCTTCCTAAATACGTGTTCTCAAAAATCTCAAAAGTCTTAAAGGGAAAACATTAGATGATCTTCACTGTTAGTCTAGTCTTGCAAAACATTCTAACAACATGTGAACAGTTTGATGTTCCTAATCACAACCGATTATCAAACTTCCCATGCACACCCAGCTGACAGCAGATACAGTCTTCTAAAAATGAATCCCTTTCTCTCACACCCATCAACAACATGATTGTCGATATCATACATTATAAGGCTGTATCATCAAAAATCAGAGGCCAGAGCTGAGCAGCAGTCACTGGTATTATGCATCATGGTTCGCATTGAGCCCAAGGGGCAGAACAACTTAAGAAGTGGCATATAATGCGAACGTAAAAACATACAAGTAATGTAAAATGGTACAGAAGGAGAGGGATACAATATTCCTTCAGGGCTCAAAGTATCACGTCCTTCAAAGATTTCCTCCAGTGTGGCAGCGGTTCTTCAAAGATACTCTGTCTCACCTTAAGCGACAGCATTCACTGAAATGATGCCATTCCTGTTAGAGTCTCACGTAATAACGCTACTTCTCAGTAGCGGACAGATAATTCTCCAAATAAGCATCAGGGATGCGCCACACCTCAGTATATATTTTCGTAGTTAAAGTAGAGAGACATTAGATTCAAGTTAATCAGTACACAGAAACAAGTCCTCACACAAGCTACAATTTACTACTACTCTGAAAAAAAGATCATATCCCATTCCTCAATTATTTGTGTAATTCTAAAGTTCAACTTACTACAAGGAAAATATCCGAGTTTAGACTGTCTTAAGCACCTTACAGTATAAGTAAACAGAACAAGTTGCGCTTGCGAAGGGTTGCTCTTAAACATTCTGCATCACAGCCCGAGATACAAGCTGTGAACGGACAACCTCTACTAAAGCTCTACACAAAATCAGGTTGATCCATCAGGCCTTAGGACTGAGACTCACATCTGCTGTACTTCCCTCCCCCTTTCCCCTCAGTTTCATTCTCAGTAATTACTAGATATGAAAAGATACAAAACTTGCTTAAAATTACTGAAAATCATATACTCAACAATAAAAATGCAAAAAAGGATCCTCCGACCTTAACATACAAGGTTAGTTTGGATTTCTAATAAGCTTTAGCAAAACATAATTTTAAATACATATTTAATACCAGTTGAAAGGGATCCTTTTATTATTTTCTAAAAATTCAACCATTCTGGTTTTAATTACCATCACCAACATTTAGGTACATAAATGAGTGGCTGCCGAAACCCAGAAACACTAACTTGAAGCAATTGTTAGTGTTTGCTTCTGCTGAGAACAAAGTATTTGGATAAAAACTGCATGTGCCAATGCAAACCAGAAGGATATCCAAGAGTTTCTGGGTTTGGAGTTGCACTTTCTCTTTTCGTGAAGATGTGAAAGAAAAGAACATTTTAAAGTTTTTATGCATCCTCCCAAAAGTTAGAAGCATATTAAGTCAATGCAGCAAAAATGGGCTTTTTGATATTTTTAATTACTTAAAATCAATAACAGATTTGCTGAATCTGGATGTTACTGCTGACTCAAGGAGTTTCCGTATTTTAGTACTTTAAAAAATTGTGTGCGTGTGCGCACAAAGCAACTAGTAAGCCTCCCTGACTGAGGCTTTTATTTCAATGTATATTTCTGACCATCAGAAGAATGTCACTTTTCAGAAACCTTGTTACTGTACATGAAATCTGTAATTAACTGCAGAACAAAGATAGTCTCTGATTTCAACCTGGTGGAAGAAGCCATACTGTGCTTTATTTTCAATGAAAATGAATGGAAAATTGCAGCCTATATAATTTAACATGGTTAACTGAAATCAAATGCTGAAAAGGCATTACGAAGACAAACGTAAAGGACGCATGCTTACACTTTATTCCTATTCCCCAAAGCAAACACATTCTCATACTTTCCAAACTGAAGTATGAAGTTCAAGTAAAAGAAGAGTACAGAGTACAAAGTGTCCTTGAAGACTAGCAGCTTTGCTACCTTCCTTATTATCGCCATATGATGCCTTAAAAAAAAAAAAAAAAAAAGACAAGACTTGTATTTCAGTCCTACATACATATACAGAACACCACTGCTGACCAAACATTTCAGGGTATGAAATTAAAACATCATTCACAGATAAATTTATAAAAAAAAAGCTGAAAGAAAGGAAACCACTTATACAATTTATTTTTGTCTTATCCAACTGTCAGGTATCTCATTCAAATGCAACCTCATGGGATTGGAATGTTAAAGGAAACATATTTATGACATAACTTTTTAAAAGAAAAGCCTGCACGTCCACCTCGTGACTATGCACTTATAGTACTATTTCTTGAATCCAAAAAGGAGTACCTTTGAAAACCAGTTATCTGTATGTAAGTATATTTTACTGAATTTGTTTGAGTGTTATCTTCTGTCAACTCAATTTATGAGAACATTTCCTTTGTAACATATTCCAGAACAAAATAAAATTAAATAAATTTTTCTAAATTGATTTTTACATTATTTGAAAGTAATACAATTTATGGCAGAACAATGAAGCCAAAACAGTTTTGAAAAAGTAAACCTTACTTCCACTTCAAGTTAATAAATTTCAAAAGCCATCAAGCTTTGTTTCTATATGTTGTAAATAGTACCCCAGTCTAAGAAAGAATATATATGTACACACACATATATAAAAACAGGTAAATCTCACTGAAAAATCATCCAAAGTAACCAAGGCCCACTATAGTCTTTATTCTCATCAATAAATTCTAGAAATATACCATCTTGTGACATGATCATTCTTAGAAAAGCTCCATATCCATGAAGTAGACTAAAAGCTTAACTTTAGTAAGTCTGAGCAGCCTTAAAATTAACGTGCTTTTTCTTAGCACGTTACACAGTTAAATTGAAATAAGAAGTCAAATTTGGACACGATGTTTTCTACGGTAAAAATTCTTTACCTAGGGTTTCTCCTGGAGTACTTTCCATGTTATGTTTTCATAATTACTGTCACAATAACTTAAAAGTAAGACTCAGTTCATTTTCTCCTCTTTCTTCTCATTTCCAGTTTGATATTTAGTTTGTCTTTTCTAATGTATTTATCTTAATATAACTGATATTTAATAGAAATATTTTGTAATGACCACAGAAGAAGCCCAACATGTGACATCATACTTGAGGACTTTTTTTTTGACCTTTTATGGCATTTAGAATACTGTAAGATTTATCATTGCATGTATCGGTATATTACTTGCTCCCAGTAAAATTTTATGTTCTATAAGCAAAGCTGAGTATCTGTGTTAACGTTTTATAGAAACAATGCTGAACAATCCAAAGATAAAGAAACCACTTAAGTAATTGCTTTGAAGTTATAAAGACCCAGTATAACACCTTATTAGATAAAAACAAGTTTCCAACTTAAAAACAACAAACCACCTGTTATTACTTTATTTGTAAATATTTATTTATTTAGAAATAGGGAAAACATTAAGCTCCATCTTTCCAAACCTAAGCTTGGAAAGCAGTATAATTAATTTTATTTAACTTGTAGAGTTAACAGCCTATGTTGAAAAGATAATGACTAAATATAAATTCTTACCCAAATATTAAAAGACAGACAATGGAAGCATGAGATATAGCATGTCTGTAATTTTTAAAATAGCAAGAAATTTGTATTGCTTTAGTAAGAAAAACTTAAGCAGGTAATTGAATCCCCAATAGATACATAGGCTTAAAGAAGTAATTGAATCCCCAATAGATACATAGGCTTAAAGAAGTAAAATCGATGACTGACACGCACACTTCACCGGCACTCTGAGCTGCACCTTTAAAGGACCAAAACCAAAAAGTCCGCTTACTTTCTTTCAAATAATTCAGGCACGAAAGCTGTAACAACAAATACCACTACTGTTCTCATCATAAACGAGGGAGCACCGTTTACTTAGTAGTAGTTCTGCTCACTTTTCAGAAGTCAAATTCATTTGCATGTGTAAAAATAGTTCCAATATTAAGTTTAAAAACAGCTTATCAGATGTGAATGCTAAATAATTGGTAAAACAGCTGCAATGCGGGAATAGACATTCAAACTTCACGCAGATCTTTTACGCTATTTTACAAATATATTTGAAACCCATATACTGGATAAAGCCAAATTCTGCAAGTACTCATACAAGCAAAAATAATTGTAAACTTCATCTTTAATACTTACACAAATCCTAACTACTTCCGCATCAAGATTAAATTCCTTAACACCACGCAACAGACAAATACAGAGACTGTCTTAGATCCTACTACGTTCCTGAACATCCCTCAAAATAAAATACCTGGAATGAACTTTAACGTACGGTCCTGCAAGCAGTGCAATTTTATGGTGCCTAAACCGCTGACCAAACCTTAAGTGCATGAAACACACAGGGCACAGCACGCCCTAACTCTGACAAGCCTGTGTTGGAGTCTCTCTGGTACGACAGCAGGTCTTTTACACGTACGTGATACTCTCCATATAGCATGGAAAAGGTTCCTTTTTTAAAAAAACAAACAAACAAACATCCCACTTCCCCTACTCCTCTCAACATTTTTCCATATTAGATTTTTTTTTTTTAAAGGAAAGAAAATTGACAAAGTCATTCAAAATATTTAAATCACCCTGCAATTACATAAGGCTGTCAACTGATAGGTATTTTTTAATCCTAGACTTTTACAAGCTATTTCTATTTTAAATAAACACACACACAGACTTTACACATATGTATGTGCATATATGAATGGGTTGTTACCCGAGTTCATCTGCATGCTTAAATTGTATCTGTTAAGAAAATATTGCCATTCCCTAATCACGAGCATCTTAACATGCACAGTATTAAAACTTTACAATCCTCAGAAAAACACGCTAAACAATCGCTATTGTGGTGATACTTTACCGACAGAAAGCGCACAGGTACCTTGAAGTTAAACACGCGACGGGTTTGGTGAGGATTCCTGTGAAGTCTCTACTAGGAGGCAACGTTTCACCTCACAAAACCGTTTCTAACAGGCTTCCTGCCATCCTTCGCATACGCGCTCGTACATATCCCATCCGCACAAAGTTAAGCGGCTCCTCGAAGACGAAGTTCCCACCAACTTCGGTCGGTCACAAAGGAAGGGCAATTACCCCGCCGCAGCTC